GCAGAAACGACCTATGCCTGTTCATGAAGTTCGGCGCGATGTGCCGCAAGTGCTCGCCTCGATCGTGGACAAGGTTTGTGGATTTTCTGGAGTAGAACTTCTCTTCCTGACACTTCTGACAGCTGCTTGTAAAAAGTCCGGATGGAAGATATCAGAGTGCTTGGGGTTTAAAGGAAGATCTGCTGGAATGTCAGAGACGGTTGCTTGCCACTGTCTCTTCTACTTCTGAACAATCTTCTGAGGTTTGCCCATCTCACTTACGGTCGATTGCTACCCTTACCCTCTGCAGTTGATTCCGCCATTCGAAATCACACTTCGGGATCGATTCATGGTGAGTTTTTGATACCTTCCAGGATTAGACTGAAGCGTGACGTAAAGGATTTCACGATGCCTCTGACTCTGGTGCGACACTGAGCGACAGACGCAATGCAGCCCCTCTGATTCTTTCTAGTTTGGTCGGGAAAAAGAGCTAGAGATCGTGAGGAACGTCAGTGAGTGACGCTTTCAGTGATTCTCCGAGTGTTTCTCACGACACGAACAGTCCGAAACTGCACGGCAAGCTTTTCGATGGACATCATGCCGTCATCCAGCACAGCGGGGACATATCGCTCCGGGTCCAGTGCCTCCGTCGCCGACGTCTCAGACGAGCCAATCCAAGCGACGCAAGCTGAATCGCCGCATTCGTCAGTGCGAAGCGAATCGCCGATGGATGATGTCATGATGGGATCTGGGCCGACATCAAGCGTGACTTTGGCGGGGCCGAGTATGATTGGCCCTCCGTCGAGCGCGGGCTCGGTTACGACGGGCACGACAGATACTCTAAGAAGGGTCGCGCTGAATACCAAATCGCGCGCAGCCCGGACGCATGCTGTGATCGTAACTGGGGAACCGGGGCAAGTTCATGCGTTCCCCTCTGGGCAATCGACTTACCATATCCGGACAGCGTTGGAAAGAGCTCGATTATTCTAGCTAACCAGGCTAAATGGCGAGGTTGGCTGACTGCCTGTTTCGGCGGGAAGAAAGTTTCTGACTTGTGTATTCCGTCCAGCACACGGGCTGTGGGGTCATGCCAAGTTCATGAATGCTGATTCTTCAGGGCCGTTCTCTACAATGGTGTGCGGATTTACCGTTTGCTCTTCTTACATGTGACGCCTCTTTAGCTGAGCTGCCTCGCTGCTGTGCTACGCCAGCTGATGGTGTTTCACACCGACCTCCAACGTTTCGTCACTGCTCTGAAAGAACACCTCGGCCCTCAGCTGCAGAATGTCCCGCTCCTCTACCACGGCACCCCGGAGCTCAAGGAGGTTCTCGCCCTATTCGACATCAAGCTGGCTCAGCACAAAGAGCATCTGAGTACCCGGGAGCTACGGGCCAGATTCCAAACGCTGGTGCTGTCCGTTTTCGCTGTGATCGCCGAGACGAGGTTGTTTGCGCTGTTCCTGGATGACTTGCACGAAGCCGATGAGTCGTGCGTGGTGGCAGATGACGTCTTGTGGTGTCTGGCGCTAACCCTCCGGCAGGACGCTGGATCTAGTCGAAGCGCTCATTAACTCTAAATGCCGAATCGTGCGTCAGCCTTTGAATGCACTTGGACGAGCTGATCGCCCCTCCGCAGCTCATATTCGCCACTCTGCGCTCGGGAGAACCGTGGGTCTCTACCTCCTCCCCCCGTCCTACGCTCATTTTCCGCGCAGTGAGATCGTCGAACGCGTGCGATCGATGTTCGCTGGTCGATCACGTGCTACGTGGATTACGCTCGACTCTTTACCGTATTCGGCGATCGGATCCATGGTCGCCAAGTCTCTCCATCGGCCCAAGGAGGACTGCCTTCCGCTTTCACGAGTCATTTTCGAGGCTTCCTCTGGCAATGCATTCTCCGCGAGGAACATATTGGCCACCCTGCAGAGACAGCATCACGTGAGTAACACGTGCCCTTCTCTGGCGTCTCTCTGAGCGGACTCAGGTTGTTTACAATTGGGAACATAACAGTTGGGAGTGAGTGATTCTTTAAGTGTGATTTAACGGCGGCTTACTAAATTGAAATGTCCAGCTTCGATCTTGCTGCTGCTGAAGAGAGTCTGGGGAGCAAGAAGATCTCGGACCCGACGGATCTGTCCTTCCTGATCTCGAACCTGAAAGAGCTCCCCGAGGAAGCCAAAAAGTACCTGAGATGGGCAGCGATGTTTGGCGAAGCGTGAGTCGACATGGCGTTGTTTCTCTTCTTCCCCTGACGAGAAATAGCTTCAATCTGACTGAGATCGCGCGCCTGATCGATGGAGAGGACGCTGGTAGCGGCAGCTCCGGAGAGGAGGACGGCGAGGGCTGGCCGGTCGCTGCGCGTGCCGTTTCGAATGTGCCTGACGCAGCTCCGAATATGGCGAATGCATCGGCCTCGATGAGGGGGCTACAGATGGCCATCGAGGAAGGGTGGATCATCCAGAGAGCGCGTGACATGTGTAGCTTTGCGCACGACCGGTACCGGCAGGCTGCGCAGGAGGAAGTCGCGTCGTTGTCTGAGGATGTGGTGGCCAAGATGTCTCTCCGGGTGCGCTTCTGTGCTTTTGAAGCTCATCCCTGAAGCGCTGACTCTTTCTGCAGATCATTCTGATGATGATGAATGAGAATCAAGTTGTGGTCTATCGGATTGCAGAGCATGCGACCCAGTAAGCTTGGGCTTTTCTTTTGACGCTGTGTTAAAACCTTTCAGTTGTCTGCCCTTACTCCGAGACCACGCGAAACACAACGAGTTCTTGGACATCTTGATTGATGCCGGGGAGTCGGCCTGGGCCCGCGGAGCTCACGAAGTGATTACCGCCCCTAAGTGAACCTGATTTCGATGACTGAAGGACTCCCGTTTAGCTCGCGCTCAAGTCGTTCCTGAACGCGCGAACACTGCTCCGCAAGAACCCGTGGGTAGTCAACCCTCGTCGGACGCTCAACCTGCTGCGGCGGCTGTCTGCCTTGACCTCGTGGCAGGGCGACTACGAAGAATCCGAGCGCCTGATCCAGGAGTGTCTCGACCATAGCGAGGCGCCGGAGGACCAGGGCGCGATGCTCTGGCAACGCTCGCGCAATAAATGGCTCTGCAACCGGTTCTCCGACGCGCTCAATGACACGCTGCTGGCGCTCAAGATCCTGGGCGTGGAGATCAACACGTCGCCGTCGAGGCGGGAGGCGGACCGGCTGTTTGATCAGGTACATAATGAGATTTTGGCCGTGGGGTTCGACGAGATCTTGGCGACGCCGAGGACGACTGATCCGAGGACGGAGCTGGCTGTGGCGTTGCTTAACGATGCGGGGATCAATGCATACTGGAGTCCGTCGCCGTTTGCGATTGAGGTCATTGGCTGCACGGTTCGTAGATTTACAAGTCGCAGTCGATGAAGGCATTGACGGTTGTCGAAGACGATCCGCCTCGCACTGCGTTCAGGCATGTCTCCGGGAACAGCTACCGGGTTTTTCTGGGCCTTGGGTGGTGCGTTTCAGTTTCGGTTTCTATTTTCAGTTTTGAGATTGAACATGCTTCCAGCTGCCGCTGAACGCAAAGATCTATATCGTCTATCGGTCGACCTGGCCCAGGTCGCATTGAAGATTGCGGAACGACATGGCAGTAGTGCTGATAAATGGTCTGTGAGGCCATCAGATCGCATGTACCATCGAGCTAATCGGAGCCTAGTCGAGCACATCAGTTGTACGGGTCCATGGTGTCGGGATACGACAACATGCATATCCGCGCGAATCTGGATCGGTTCCAGCTTGCGGTACAATACGGCCACAGTGCTGGTGATCGGTGAGTTCGGTTGGTGTCATTGCTGATGGGGGATTGACTAGGGTTGGCAGGGTATACACGAGCTTCGCCAGCATTCACCTGATTTTGACGCGTCTGTTTGTCTGCGAGCATTGTATGTGTGTTCTTATTGACTTGTGGCGTGTAATTGCTGACGTGCTTGGTAGTGAGCGAACTGGTCATCGCGGCGGAGGAGTGCGTGGCTGATGTCAGCCAATGGGCGCCCAAGGGACCGTCGCCCGTGCTCGCTATGGGTAATTACCAGCTTCCCATTGTCACTCTATCGCTTTCTGACGTGTGCTTCCACAGCTCATCTGAACTGCATCCGGGCACTGAGTGGACTGACACTGGCCACTTCGGCGGAGACGGCGTTCGACACAGCCACGTTCGTGGAGTCGGAGTACCAGCAATACATTCACGAGACCTCAGGCAACATACCTCTGGCGCTGAATTGGTACAACACTTTCAAGGTGGTGGGGTTCTATTGTCTGGGATTCCAGGAAGAGGCGGCCAAACTAGGTTTCGAGTTGTATCTGACCCGGGATAAACACCCTAAGTGCGTTACCTTGCCTGGCTTACGATGCTTTCTCATTTAGACGTCGTTCAGTCACCGGCACGTCCGATACGGACTGTTCTTCCACAACTTGGCGTTGATAGGGTGTCTTCGAGCGAGTGAGCTCTCGGATCAAGTACGGAGGCAGTATCTGAACCAGGTGTACTTGAACCAAAAGTACATCTCGAGGTGCGATCCGCCCATTTGTTTGCGGCAGGACTGGATCTGATCAGGCTTCCCAAGATGGCGTTCTCCGAGTCCTGTCAACACCAGTACCTGGGTCGCGCTCATCGTGAGTTTGCGCCATATGTCTGATGCACTGGCTTGCACTGACCCTTTTTGCAGGACGCAGAATTGGCTTCACTTGCGGACAGCCCGGATGCGTTCAAGCTGTACGACGCAGCTGTTAGACTTGCCGTGACTAACGACTGGATCAACGAGGAAGGCTGGGCCTTGTGGCTGGTACGTTGTATTAGCATTTCACCCTGGCCGCCACCTGATTTCTCTTGACAGCAAGGCTCGCATTTCGTTCGGCAAGGTGTTGAAGGCCTTGGGAGCGAGCTCCAGAAACGAGGGATATCGAGGCACGCCCAATGGGGCGCCAAGGGAATCGTGTATGTCTCTTTTCGTCTATAGTCGTCCCGCTGACGGGTTTCCCAGCAACTACCTGAATGGCGTGCTTGGCTCTGACTCGCAAGGCGCGCCTCCAAGGGCGATGCTGTTCTGCGATGCGGCTGTGCAGACGGACAGCATGGCCTTGGGAGTCGGAGTGACGTCGGGTCATTCGTACTTCTCGACCAACGCCGACGTGACTGAGCATGCTGAGCACTCCAAGTTGACCGCCCAGGAGCTATGGACTATCCTTAAATCGAGCCAGGATATCTCGAGTGTCATGAATCTGTCTTCTGGTCAGTTTCATTCGCCACTCATCATCGGGTCCGGGTGCTGATTGGATGGTAGCGCTGCAGCGGCTGACGGAAATTGCGACTGACATTTCGGGGTCTCAGAGCACCTGCGGTGAGTTTTTGTGCCTGATTCATAAGTATGCTCAAGTCTTGTGTTTCAGTGGTGATCGCTCGGGAAGTGGGAGACTACACACTGGCGACGAGTATGATCCCCCCGGAGCCATGCCAGGTCTACGAGAACCCGCGCTCAGTGCGGACGCTGTCCGATCCCCTGCAAATGGCCGTGATCGAGCAGACCCTGAACTTGAAGGAGTCGTTCTTCTGCTCGGATGCGTCGCTGGACCCCAAGTTCACCGCGGAGGCATCGCAGTCGCCCCACCGCTCGATCATCTGTCTCCCGATCAGATCCAACCGGGGCCAGACGTTCGGCGCGGTGTACTTTGCGTCCAAATACGAGTTCTCGCCGAACATCGTGACGATGCTGACGCTGCTGTGTCAGCAGGCGAGCACGAGCGTCTCGAATGCGCTGCTGTTCCGGAGCGTGCAGGCCGGGACGAGGGAGAATCTGAAGATGATTGCGGCGCAGCGGGACGCACTCGAGGCTGCGCGGAAGAGTCGGGAGGACGCTGAGACTGCGACCAAGATCAAAGGGTGCGTCGGCTTGTGCTTAGTCTTTGTCACTGGCGAAGTGTCTGACGATGATGACTCGGGCAGCAACTTCCTTGCGTCGATGAGCCACGAATTGCGGACCCCGTTTTCCTCGTTCTACGGCCTGTTGGACCTGCTCAGCGGTACAGACCTCGATGACGGGCAAAGCGAGATTGTACAGACTGCGAAGCAGTCTTGTGAGCTGCTGCTTAGGGTACGTGTGTGTCTCTCGGCTACAAGACTTGATTATCGACGCCCGGATAGATCATCGACTCCATCTTGGATTATAGTAAACTCGAGGCGTCGGCTGTGAAGTTGGAGCCTTCTGGGTTCTTGGTCGAGGTCCGTGCATCCTTTCTATCCGCTACTCGATCTGAATCTTGTGCGCTACAGAGTATCATTGCTGTGCGTCGACTAGCGGCTGAACTAGATTGCTGACATCGAACGTCTCACTATCTAGGACTGCATGGAGCTGCTTCTTCCCATGGCGGCTCAGAAGTTGGATTTGACGTTCAACATCGAAGCCAACGTTCCTGCTTGTGAGCTGCTTCAGTCATGTTCCGCACCGTCTGTTCATTTCCTTCAGGGGTCTACTCTGACTACGCTCGGATACGCCAAGGTGGGCTTCTGGTATTATCTGGTTTCCATCGGCTGATCTTCCCCAGTTCTCATGAACTTGATCGGCAACGCAGTCAAGTTCACCGCCAGTGGCTCAGTCCGTGTGCTGTGCTCCGTCGACGCGATCACGGGGCCGGACGAGGTCAAGCTCAAGTTCGCCATCCAAGACACGGGTATCGGGCTCTCCCTGAGCGACGTCGAGCTGCTGTTTGTCCCATTCCAACAAGCCGACAACACGTCCACACGTCGATTCGGCGGGACAGGGCTGGGCTTGTCGATCTCGCGGCAGCTGGTGAAGCTCATGGGTGGGGCGATTGGGGTGCATTCCGAGCTGAATGTGGGGAGCACGTTCTGGTTCACGATTCCTGTCAAGCTGTATGACGCCGAGGAGTCCAGAAAGGTGCGTTTTGCTGTTACGCGCTTTCAATGACCGTTCGGTGACAGCTGTAGTTCTTGGGTGATCTGGCGATCGTCAGGTCGATGCTGATGCATCCTCGACCCCTGCACATTCTGGTCTGCTCGGCCTCCGAATACACCCTGGCCTTCCTCAAGACCATGTTCGAAGGGTTCCACGTGACGCTTGTGCTGAACCTCGCGAACGCGGAGATCCGGCTGCGGGAGTTCGACCACTCGCGCGTCCCGCTCGACTTTGTGATCCTCGACGACCAGTCGGAGACGCGGGCGGGGCAGCTAGCGACGCTCATGCGGACGCTTTCGGTGCTGCACGATACGAAGATCATCCAGATGTACACGCCCACGACGACCAAACGCGGCGCCGGGCAGTCTATGTTCAGCAGCAACACGCCCGGCGTGAACAAGATGACGAAACCCCCGCGGCAGGCGAGGATGCTCCAGCTGCTGGCCGGGCTCAAAGATCTTCCGAACGAGATGCCGTCTGCTGCGCAGACCCTGCAGTCGAGTGTCAGTCTCGCGATGGAGAACATCGCACAAGCAAGGAGGACTTTGTTTGGGAATGTGTTGGTCGCAGAGGGTGCGTGCTTTTCTGTGCAGTAATCCCAGAGACTGGCTGACAACGGTGGGATTGGTCGCTGCAGACAACCAGATCGCACAGAACCTGCTCGTCAAGCAGCTGCAAAAACACGACCTCACGGTCGTCGCCACATCGAATGGCAACGAGGCATTGGCGGAATGGCAGAAACACGAGCCAGGATACTTCAGTGTCGCACTGTTCGATCACCGTGCGTCCATCTACCCTCCCTACGTTCGCGCCTTCCCGCCCGCTGACGACTGACAACAATCCAGATATGCCGATATGCGACGGCGTCGAGGCTGCCAAACGGCTGAGGCACCTCGAGCAAAAGCGCAAAGCCGAGATCTCGCTACCGAGTGAGTTGGTCCTACAAATGTCGGGGTTGGGGTTTCTGCTAACCGCGCATCGCTCGCTCAGTCATCGCTCTGAGCGCTGACTGCCAAGAATCGACGAAGCAGCTTTGTCTCAGTGCAGGGATGAACGCGTTTTTCAGCAAGCCGTTGAAGAGGAGTAAGTCGTTTCTACTGCCTTTGACCTCTGGCTGACTGACACCTTCAAAGGCGATCTGCTATCGCTCTTGTCGATGTTTGGAGCGCCGCCTGCGTGACTGCGGACGAGGCGTCGATCTAGTTCCGTTTCTTGGGATGTATCTATAGCTATATGTAATCTCGGTGCTATATGTAATTCAGGTGTAGTAAACACGATATGTAAACCTAGAATAGACTCGAACTACTCGCAACTAGTTTTCTTGCGGCGTGCGCACGTTGATCATCATCTTATCTAATCTCAAGCCTTGAACTCAATCACTCCAGTCCTTCCTTCCAGATCCCCATTACCATGGCAGACCCAGCCAACCCCCCGAGCGCAGACCAGATCCCTCCCGGACTCCTCGCCGCACTGAGCCAACAATCGTCGTCGTCGTCATCGAGACCCCGCCCCGCGACGCGGCCGCTGCAGTCCTTCCCCGACGGCCTCGCCGCCGTGAGCATGCCTGAGTCCACGTTCCTCGTCAACAAGTACGACCTGCACTGCCCCCGCGCAGAGTGCGCGAGCCTCATCCTGCGCACGGGCGCCGCGAAGCTCGTCGAGAAACCCGGTGTCCAGGTGCGCTGGCGCCTGCGAGCCCCGAGCTTTTGTCGGTCTGATTGATTGGGTCTCGTTACTGAAGATGGAGCCTGCCGATCGCACGCATGAGCTGCTCCCGGCGCTGCCAGCAGCACCAGATCTGACGTCGTGGTGGCTCGTGAGCCCTTCGCCGATGGAGTTCGAAAACATCGGGTTCTCCAAACCACTAGGCGCGTCTTACAGGAATCTCTTCCCTACTTTCTCTGCTCATGTGCTGTCCGTACGCAGCATCAGCGCCCGACATGAAGCTTCTCGCCTGTGCAGAGTGCGATCTCGGGCCCGTCGGATGGAGTCAAGTTGGGGGAACCGAATTTTGGCTGGCCAGTTCGCGGGTGTCTTACAGAGCCTGAAAGCGTGTTGCGATTGTATGATCAGATATGAGAAGTGGCGCTTCCACAGAGTGCAGACTATTGTAGGGTACAAACAGAGATTCAAAAAAGGACACCAGTAAGAAATACAATTACGAGGTCACTACGGACACGTTAAGAGACGGATCACGAGAAAGATAGAATACGACTCACTGTAGCTAGTAGGTTCGATGTGGTCAGGCAACTCGGGGACGGCAACAGTGAATCGGGACTGAATGGCGGCCATAACTGCCGTGTCTGCCTCCGAAGTCACAAACGTGACAGCCAAACCCTTGGTACCGAAACGACCCGCACGACCGACTCGGTGGAGATAGCTGTCGGCGTCCGGTGGGCAGTCGTAGTTGACAACGATGTTCACTCGCTCAACGTCGATTCCACGACCGAAGATGTCAGTGGCGACGAGGATACGCTTTTCGAAGGCCTTGAAGGCGGTGTATCGGGCAATACTGGACGAGACCTGAGCCGACAGCGCTGTCGAAGTACACACACAACGTACCGCTCCTCTTGAGCAAGCCCAGAGTGGATGCTGATGCTAGGGAAGTTGCAAGACACCAAAAGCTTGTCCAGTTCATTGGCACGCGCAACGGACTTGACAAAGATGACGACCTGGAAACCATGATCAGAGAACGACCTGGTAAACGAGACAAAACACACTTGGTTGAACTCGAGAGTGTCCAACAATTCGTTCAACTTCCTGTTCTTGCCGTTCTCCTCCAACTTGACGTAGTGTTGCTGTAATCCGTGAAGGGTGAGCTTAGTCTCGTCATCGACGAAGATTTCCAGCGGCTGTGCGTGCGTTAGCGATGTTGCGACATATCAGCTAGAAGGAGCCTGACGTTGGACATGAACTTCTTGCAAGTGGCCCGGATCTCCTTCGCCAAGGTGGCACTGAACATCATGACTTGCTTGTGGTGAGGTGTCGCCCGGAAGATTTCTTGAACATCGCGGCGCATGTCTATTGGACAGTGTCGAGGTTAGATGAGCGAGCCGATCCAGCGTGAACAAGAAAAGAAGTAAGAGAAGCGGAAACGGAGGTCCCGTGCGTGCGGTGCCTTGTGCCATTCGCTGCAATTTGGAACCAACAACCATCCAACTCGACAACCCCGACCAGGAGACCCGCGACCACACTCCAACCATGGGATGCAACACCATCCGAAATGTAAATCGACGGCGAGCCCGAGACGGACGATCGGCGAATACGCAGCCAGGAACACAAAGAGGGGATGATGACGAGCGGTCGCGGAGACTAACCAAGCTGTTCCAACATTTTGTCGCATTCGTCGAGCACGAAGTGTTTCACGTGTTTTGCGTCAAGGACCTTATCTCTCGCCAAGGCGTTCAGTCGGCCAGGTGTGGCGACGATGATGTGTGGGCACCGGGACTTGTCACGAAGAATCTCCGAGTCCTTAGACACGGGTGTTCCGCCGTAGAACGTGCTAACACGGACGTCGGACATGTACTTGGCAAAGCGCGTGTATTCGTTCTTGATCTGGAACGCGAGTTCACGCGTATGACAGAGAACGATCACGGACACCTCGCCGTTAACAGGCTCAAGCTGTTGCAAAGTCGCGAGGACGAAGACCGCAGTCTTTCCGTGCCCGGACTTTGCCTGGCAGAGGACGTCCATCCCGAGGACAGCCTGCGGGATACACTCTTGCTGAACTGTAGTGGACGCGTGAGCCATGTCGCGACTTGGCTGAGGCATGAAAGAACTGACCTTCGGACGGATGCTCGAAACCAAGGTCGCTGATTGCTCGCAACAGCTCAGCCTTGAGCAAGAAGTCCCTTTTAAGAGTCGATTGTAAGTTGAATTTGCATGGGGTGAAGTGCATATACACACCGGAAACCCGTGGAGTGGATGCTTGAGAAGTTTTTCTTCTCCTTGTCCTCGTCGCCCACCACTGCACCGTTCGTCCCAGCGGGCGCAGCACTGGGGACGATGTCGTGCTCATCTTCGTAGTCGATCAGTTCCTCGTTGTCGTTGGAGCTCATTTTGCGTGTTGAAGAAGGGAGTAATAGAGGGAAAGAGAAAGCAGCGCGCGTGTCCACAGCCACGAACACAACATATGCCAACAATCCAGTGTAGGCACGTGAACGCACGGACCATCTCGCGTAGTCGCTGGTCCTCATAGTACTCGTTATAGCTTAGATGAGTCATCCGCAAGCGAGTCCTACTCGACTTCCAATTTCAGTCAACCTCTGTCTCCTGTTTGGCGTTGAATTGCGCGAGTCAGCAGATAAAACAAGTGTTTTTGAGGTGATGGCGACGAGAAAGGAGTCGTTCTGCTGCTGTATCCTTCTCCATGCAGGACATTCACGCGGCGCCTGGTGCTTTTTTGACCAATATTTCCCAAACGAGCACCAGGATTCGACCCAGACCCATATACTACCAACAAATCGTCCTAGTTTACAGCAAGACAGAATTCAAGAAATTACACGCTGACGATACAAGCCGTAGTATATATGTGGTATGATACATGCCCCTGGGTATTCACTTCGCCAGCTCCTGCCGTGCCTTCTTGACGAGGGCCTTCACTTGGGACTCCGTACCGAGTCTGCCCATCAAAAACTGATGCGTCTTCTCAACCAACTCATCCAACAGCTCTTTCTGGTCGGCGCCCGGCAGATTATCCATCATGAACGCGATGCAGACCGCCGACGCCCACACCTGATCCGTCACGAGCACCCCGAATCCAGCGGGTCGCTGCAGCGCCTGACTGCCAACAACAGCACGTGCACTATCCTCGCTGAAGGACCCGTCGAAGTTCTGCAACCGAACCAGCTGCACGACTTGTGCTGGGACCGCCGTGGCTCTCGGAGGTGGCGGCGGCGGCAATGCCCCAGTCTGAACGTGCGTTGCCGGCTGCGTGCGGCGCTGGATGTGAGGAGGGGCCAGTCTGAGCGACTCCAGTTTCGGCGACGGGCAGCGCTGCATGATAGCATCCTCCTCTGACATCGGCTGCTGAGGATCGTCTGTCCAATTCGTCCACAAGGATGATCGAGGAGAGGGATCGAGGCTGCTGATCGTCGTGAAGGTGCGCACGCTGTCTGTGTCGCCGTCGTCGCCGTCGTTGTCCCGAGAAGTGTCCGGCTGAGGGTCATCGTGCCACGCTCCGGGCACCTCTGGCTCCGGTCCTGGCTCCTCGTTGTCTTGAGATGAGGGTGCAGTCCAAAAAGTGCCCAATAAACGACGGACAACTGCTCCCACAGGTCCGATCGGAGAGTCACGAGGTGGACTGGGGTCCCTCGGAGGCATTGGACTGCGAGCCCGCTTCGGCGATGGTGGTGGCGCAATGTTCACCGCAATGAACGAGGTGTGCTGAGTGGCAATCTGGTATCGCGCTCCCAAGCGAATGATGCTCGCTTTGCGGATTTCATGGTCAGGCGCATCGCCCCACACGGCTGCAAGAGGAGCAGCGCTGTCCTGCTGATCCTGAATGAGGCGCCAAGCCGCGAGGCTGTGGATGGCCGGATGACCGCGCTCGCCGTCTTTGAGATTCACGCCCCGAATTTGCACTTTGCTCAGCTCGAAAGCGGTGCCGTCGTCCAGTCGCCCAGTTAACGTAATCTCCTTGGGCACCATGCTCGTCCGCAACGTGAGGATCGCATACACGCACATCCTGACTCCGGCGTGAAACGACGGAATGTCTTTGGGCGATTGTTGCACCGCAGGGGCAGGGCGCAGCTGTGCTTTCGTCGAACCATCCGGAGTGGTGAAATTGACAACAGGCGATCTCAGTCGCTCCAGAGGAACACCCCAATCAATGGCGATGTCTTTCACGATGCTCTTGCGTCCGGCGCGGAACAATCGCGCGCATCGCCCAACGATGTCTTCGGTATGTACGGCAAAGAGGCAGACCCCGTTTCCAGCCCTAGCGATGCCCTCACATGTGTCGGTTGAGATGCCATCACCAATGCCCAGACAGAAAACACGCAGATGATGCCGAGAGCCACCGGCGTGAGATGCCTGCACAGCTCTCCGAATATCGGCAATGATGACTTCCCGACCATTGGACTGGATAGGGCTCAATTTGCGATTCAGTAAATTGAAACCCGCCTCACCTCTCCATCCGTCAGAAGAAACACTGCTGTGGCTCTAGAATTGTCTCGGGCCGAAAACGTCGCGTTCAGGGTGCTCCCGATCTCGGTGCCGCCCATATCAGCAGACATAGCATCCACATGCAATGACTGGTCAAATGATGAGTGTGCATGAGACCGGATAGTGTTTTGACAGGCGCACCGCATTCTGGAGAGTGCTTGCGTTGTATGGCTGGGAGTTGGACCACAGACTGCTGTATTTACTGCCGAAACTGAACACATTGAAGGACGTGTTCTCGTTAGGAAGCATCCGGAGGAGCAAACCCAGCGTACTTCACAAGACCATCAGCATCCAGAAAATCGACGGGTTGAACGAAGCACCTCTTGGCCGTCTCGATACGGGCGCCGCCCATACTCCCACTCCTGTCGACCACGAAAACAAACTCTTGTCTAGAAACGGACGGGAGCTTCTTGTTCAGCACAACAGTGAATTGCAGCGCAAGGGTGTCAGAATGTCGGCCTTTCGGATCTCTGTACAGCTCCGCAAAACACCGCGGCTCGTCCAGTCCTTCCGCTCTCACAACCAGGACGAAATCACATTCCAAAAAGTTCTTCGAGCGATAGTTCACCGTCACCCGCCGTCGCGACGCTCGGCCCAGTCCCGTCTCGTAGCGACTCTGCGTGATCTCGTTGGGGTGGCTGGGACTGGTTATGTGATCGATAGTCCCGCTCGTCTGGATGTGGGCTGTGATGCGGATCCGGGTGGAGGATGATGGGTCAGATGCGCCCTCGAGAGCACTGGGCGGGGGGCCGTAGCGTTCGCCCACACACATGGGCATCTGGAACCGGATCTCGTCCGCATAGTCGTCGTTCATGAGAGTCATCGTGTACTATATACCGCAGCCTCATGAGCTGCCGCCGAGCCTCCCAGGATTGAATGCACCACACTCACCACAACCTTCGTCGTCACGCGAGCGCCTGCGGCCACGGACCCGATCGAGATGGTGAAGACTGCAACGGGTGAGCTGGAGTGGCATTCTACGTAGTAGTTTCGCGTTCCACGCACTGTCGTCCGTCACCCAGTCCAGCAGACCCGTCTCGCGCCCCTCTTCCAGCGCCAGCTCGAACTCGAGTCGCGCCTGCGTCTTTTCCTTGCAAACAGCCTTCACGACCGCCCCGTCCTCCGTCCTGAGCTCGAACGCGCAGAGCGCCGCGCCCGCGGGCACGGGGAAGCAGTACTTCGCCCGCCCCGTAGCATGCGCCGAGGTGTTGCGGAAAGCTTGCGTCAGGATGACTTGCGCGGTGACTGTGGGCCGGTGTTGTTGCCACGATGAGTTTTACATATACGCACGCGGGTGAGACCGGACTAGCGCGCACCATCGATGATGTTCACCTTCGCCCGGACCTCTTCCAAGTCAAGGTACTTAGGCTCTTGCGACCCGTCGAGGGACCCGGTGTGCACGATACCACTGCGGCGCATGCTGGGAGGTGGGAACCTTGAACAGGAATCGCCTTGAGGCCCTTACACAACCTTCTTCCTCGTCTACTTTAGTACAGGCCCCGGCGCTTGTTGCGCTCAAAGTGGTGGTGTCTATGTCGAGGACGGCGCGACCGTTACCTAAAACAATGACCACGCCTCATAGGCACAGCGCGTGTGGTGGGTTCTAATGACATCAAGCGCTTATTCGAACGCGATGGGGATGCAAAGCGGCATTGCTTCACCTGCACAAGGTAGGTAAGGGATAGCTCGCGCAGTAGATTATCATTCCAGGAGAGTGTACTAGTACGCAGTGTGATAGGTCTTGCAAATCCTCGCTCCCGCATTTGCCGGGTGAGCAGCCGGCGCGTCATCGATTATTTTCGGCCCGCTCGGCCGTGACGGAAAGCCTTCTTGTCAAATTCCGGCTTCCACCTCCTTGGACCCGTCAACGCGCCTTTCGTTGCGCTCACCATGACGAACACTCCGTTCTGGTGCGTACCAGAAGCCCTCTCCGACCCTACTTATATCAACCGCGGTCGTCCAGGCTCGGAGGTACGAGATGTCTGCTTACCCGTTGAAAGATTCTGTCTGAAAAGAGGCTGGGCAGGCGTTGCTGCGTCCTGTGCGTTATCCCCGCCTGCTTCGATGCCATCCGCACTGATATTTCCCCCAGTGGCCACGTCCATCACGCATCCGCTGGACTTTGCCAAAGTGTGCGTGCGCGATATGTGCCCCGGCTCCGATAGAGACCCTGCTCACACCCCGCCAGGAGAATGCAGACGATAGAGACTGCGCCGGGGGTGCAGAAGCCTTCTATTATATCGGTATTACGTGCTTCCATCCACGAGTCCGGTATCCGCAGCGTCTACACGGGCCTCACGGCAGCCTGGTTGCGGCAAATGAGCTATACGCTCGTGCGGATAGGCACATACGAGGAGCTCAAGACCCGCATCTCCCACAACGGCCCGCCCTCGGCCCTGCAGCTCCTCACAGCCGCGAGTCTGGCCGGTGCGCTCGGGGGAATCGCAGGCAATCCCGCTGGTGCGTTTGCGCCCCAACCGGGGATAACTTCTGCCGTCATGGAGCACCGAATCATCATCGTTCCAGATATCGTTCTGGTGCGGATGACGAGCGACTCCATCCGCCCGCCGGACAAGCGGTATGGGTACTCGAATGCGCTGTCTGGATTGCTCAGTGTCGCCAAGGAGGAGGGCATGCGGGGGATGGCCCGGGGACTGGGAACCAATACGGCGCGCCTGTTTGACTCTGGCCAAGATTATCGCTGACCCTGTTTTAGGCACGGGCCGTGCTGATGAACGTGTGTGCACTGAACAGCCTCGTTGTATAGTGCTGATCTCTGTTGACTGACATATTTAGGCCTCACAAGTTGGATCGTATGTCGACCTGCTCTGCTCGACAACAACATGCTCATCTTCTCCCCAGTTATGATTTCATCAAATCCAGCTTGCTGAGGCACTCCGCGACACTGTTCGACTATCAGCTGAAAGATAATCTGCTTTTGCACGTTATCTCCAGCCTTTCGGCAGGAGCTGTGGCCACCAGTGAGTTTGCCTCAAAGCTGTTATTTTTTTTGTCGCAATACTGATTGGCCGACCAGCCGTCTGCTCTCCGCCAGATGTGATGAGGACGCGGATTATGTCGCAAAACTCTAAAGCCTCGTTTCTGCATGTTCTGACTACTTCGATCCGAGAAGAGGGCCCGAGAGTGCTCTTCAAGGGCTGGACACCCGCCTTCATCCGCCTTGGACCACAGACTGTGCTCATGTTTGTGTTCTTCGAGGTAATGTCCGGCGCGACCCTCGTGTATGCTGCTGACGATGTTGGGCCAGCAACTCAAAAAGGCATGGATCAATCTACACAGCTGATAGACTAGATGCACACCTATATACCAGATCTAGATTATCTATACATAGATGTCAAATCAGTGTATTATTGTATCATTTGTACAACACGCTAATTTCCACTAGAAACCTACTTCAAAGAGGCCAAGACGACCTGATCACCGACGTTCACCCAGCCATCGCCCGTGCTGAGGTCTTTCCGCCACATGAGGTGCACCCCAAACTCAATCTTCCCGCGCGCATTCTTCCGCCGGCGCGCCAAACAGCTCAGAGGCTCACGCGTCCGGATCCCGGTGGCCTGATCAATGCAGACCATCAAGCACCGCCTGCAGCGCGCCAGCACCTGGAACGTCTCCTTCCCAATGCGCACGAGATCCACGCTGTCCTCGTGGAACGCAGGCAGCGACGCCGCCGCGATCGTGAAGTTCGCGCGGAAGCAGTCCGCCTTGACCGCGTCGTCCGGCGCGATCCATGCGTTGACCTGGTCGACGGACGCGCGCGAGATCAGCAGGAAGGGACTTTCGTTCGAGAGCAGAATCGGCACCGCGGCGCCCGCGACGCCCTCGAAATGCCCGTGCCGCTCTGCTCCAAGCGCGACTCTTCGCAGGCTGCAGCTGATCCCGAGGAATTCGCTGAACCACGCGTCTGTTTCCGGGTCCGAAGGACTCGAGGGGACAATATCCGCACAGAGATTGGTATCCGCGGCTGCGCTCTCCCCCGCGGGCCGTGCCAGTGGCAGTGGCAGGTCCGGCATCCCTGGAGCCCGCACGAGTAGGATGTCAGCTCGGATATCAACGGAGGGTCGAATGAGCGCCATTCGGGAATACTGTTTCTGCGACAGCGTCCGCCCCGACGCGGAGTTCACTAGCATCCATTCTCGGTCGTAGAGCAGCCCCGTGGGAACGACTTTCCAAGGCCCCTGCAGAGTCTGGCCACCGCATGATTTGATGGGATCTAGACTGTGAGATGAGTGATGTAGGCCGCTCGAGTCCCGGAACGTACACAACATGGCCGTATCCAAAGTGGCGGAGGCGGTAAGGGCATCTGGGTCAGCCACAGGGTCCGACAAGGCAATGACGGTGCTCGACATCACAAAATATCGACGGACAAAGGAAATCCACTGCAACACATCATCTATCGTCGACGAAGCACCGAAAGATATGCGGGCCAAACCAAGCGGTTTTTCGCGATTCAATCCGCCGAATTCCTCTGTCGCGTGCGTCGTTGGGTGGTATCAGGGCGACGGAAACAACATGCAGCGCTCACCATCATCCCAGCACGCTCGCCCCCGATCGTTCTCCCCCTTCAGATCTTCATCCGTGAGATCGAAGACCGAAGCAACCACGCCCGTGTTGCAGAGACCTCCTGTGCGGATCTGGAATCCATTCACAGTCGCCAGTTGCTCTAGATGCACGTGTCCCAATGGCTTTGACTTGTCGTCGAGCAGAGTGAATCCGATGATGGGCCCCGGGTCTTCCAAGAACGCAGCCGCAGCTGCGAACGACCGATGCTGCTGAACCACGGGTTTCCCATTCGCATGGCGTAGAGATGCCAGCTCGCCGGTGACGAACCGCACAAGCGAGCTGACGTGCTTGGCGACATGTCTGTGTGACTTGTATAGCCGTTTGTGGGTGTCCAGAGCACGAGCGAGAGCGACGATGCTCAAGTAAGAGACAGTGCCGTCTTCAAATCTCTCGTGCATTGTGCCAGGGAGCATCGGCCGCCGCGGCTGCATCCACTGGCCTGATTCGACAGACAATCCATCGACGGTCCCCCCGCCGAAATACCCTCGGCGCTGTAAGACATGCGACGAAGCGCGCTTGACGACGAGGCAGCCCAATCCAGTCGGATAGCCGAATATCTTGTAGAAAGAGCAAGATACAAAGTCGGGCGCCGTCTCAATGGGTATAGATCCGAGATCGAGGACAGCAGTGGAGAGATATGCCGCGGCGTCGACGAGCAGGTACACGTCCGGACATCTCTCCTTCACCCGCTGCGCATAGCCAAGCCCGAGCCGCTGTCCCGTGGAATTGCACTGCGCAGAGTAAGCGAACAAAGAGGCAAGGGCCAGATCCACGGGAACGTCCTCGACGCTAACCGGCAGGACCTCCGCCCCGCACGCCAGAGCGCACCCCCGTATCCCGACAAGGCTCGTGTGGCTTGTTTTGAGGTACACGTACTTCGTTCCGCGCCCCCACGGGAACGACTCACCCACCAACTTGAGCGAGGCGGTGGCCCCAGACGTGAAAACGACATCCCAATCAGCTCGTTGCGCCTCGTCGAGCCCAAACAGATCCTCCAAGATCCGCCCCCGGCACTGCTCGATCTCCAGGGAAGAGGCGACAGACGCCGGCGCGCGGGAGTGGGGATTCGAGAACAGCGTCGAGGACACTGCGTCGGCTAGGGCGCGGATCGTCGAAACAGGGGCTGGCGCAGATGCCGCGTAGTCGAGGAAGGTGGTCCCGTGGAGGCTGGGGTATTCTGCCGACCGTAGCGCATGGAACGCGTCGCTGCCGAGACCGTATCCGTAATCGCTGCCGGCCTGGTCATAGAACTCGTGTCGTTTTGCATCGATGTCGCTGATGTGTTCCGGCGCCTGCATGCAAAATGGGAGTAGGCCGAACAAAGGTCGGGGCTGGGCCCCAGTGACTCCGACCAGAAATGATCTACGTGCACAGCCATCCTCTATCTAATCTAGCCTTGATCTGAAGATCTGCATGTTGAGAAGCGTGGTGCCGAGAGATTGAATGATGCATCCCGATTCCATGCCCGATTAGAGCAACGAGCATCATACAACGTCAGTATCTAAATTTTACATTCAATCTTGTTGGACAACGCTGCCTCCCGCCACCGTGAGCAACTTCCAATCGATCTCCACGTCCTTCGTCAGGAAGATCTTCCGCGCGTCTTCGGCGATAGCTTCGAAGCCGTGCGTCGCGAGAGCGAGGATGGTAGGGCCGGCGCCGGAGAGACAGATCCCAAGAAGACCGGGATGGGTGATCGGTGTGATGGATGAGGTGACTTCAGGCAGACCAGGTATCTGCGCGACAGATGTAAGTAAGTTTGGGATGCCTGATGAGATCGACGCACGAGAGTCTTTCGATACGGTTGATGCACTCGGTCCTTCATTGCCTCGTAGATGAGATCGGGGTCGGGCGGCGACTGTCCCAGCGCTGTCGTGAGTACCGCCAGTCTTTGGAGGTTAAAAACCTATGGGATTGGGAAATCAACGCTTATCCGAATGATCAGCGCCAAGATGAACGCACCAGATCTTTCCTCGAATACTCCGTGGGAAGCACTCCTCGCGCCTTGGCCGTGCTCAATTCAAATCGCGGAATGATCGCCACAGCCTTGATGCTCTCCGACCATCCAAACCTCACGAAGTGACCGATGCCGAGAGGGGGGACAGGTGGGTTGAGTCCCCACTCCTTACCCGCATCCGGGGGAAACTCGGGCAGAACTTCACTCAGCGGAACACTCGCCGCCTCCGTCGCGGCCGCGTCCAGTTCCTTCAAATACGAGCCGACAAATCCGCCCACCAATGCAGCGGTGACATTATCCGGATGGCGTTCCACCATCAGCGCGAAATCCAGGAGGCGCTCGCGCGGGAGCCCAAGCTGCCCGATCTCGTTCCCGAGCAGCACGCCTGCGATGACGGCTGCGCCGGACGAGCCCAGGCCGCGCCCGAACGGGATCTCGTTGTTCACGTGGATCTGCGTGTGCGACGGGAAGCGCGCGATGTCGTGGCAGCGGAGGACGTACAGCGCGACGCGCGTGGTGAGGTTTTTGTACGCGTCGAGCGGGACCTCGGCGGCGCCCTCGCCTGTGTATTCCAGCGCCGGCGGGACATACGCCGGGGACGTATCTGCGGGTGGGGCGGCGATCTGGACGCGAAGCGTGAGATGGAGGGAGAGGGAGAGCCCGACGACATCGAATCCGGGGCCGATGTTGGCTGAGGTTGCGGGGACTGTGATCGTGAATGCTCGAGACATGTTTTAGCGTTTTGAGTAAATTTGGAATGTGACTCACACGGACAGCGAGAAGGCACATGGCTGTGTCGAAGGATGGCTCTGTTTGCTGGGAGTTTAACAAAAAGCCTGCAGGAAATCCCAGGCGCAGCGTAATGTACGAGGATAAGAAGCTGGATAGAAAGCTTGCATATCTTTCCTAGAAGATAATTTACCCAAAGCCTAACCTGAGCAGACTTGTCTCGTGCGCTACGAATCTGTCGGAGTCCCTCAGATCCATCCGTGGAGAATGGCTTTGAATCCCGGAAGTAACTAGACCAATCGCTGAATGGCGAGTACAGATTGCATGCAGTGGAGTCCTTGGAACGACTCAGCGGAGAGTTTCCAAATACAAGCCCCTATCTTTCCGGACACGCGTGGCTTGATGTCCGCTTTGCCGCGGCGTGTTATTTCGCAAATCAACGGGTGGTTTCTGTCATGATCACACAACACAGACGGCTTGAGTCACCGCACACCACGGCTCTGCACCAGCCTTTTCCCTCGTTGTGTCGACGTTTCGAACAGCAACAGCCATGTCGACTGCAGAAAAGTCGGTCGAAGCCGGTGCGACGCCCGCAATTGAGGAATCTAACACGCTAGCCGAGGCCGAAACGAGCCTACCGGCACCTACTGATGCCCCAGGAAAGGCACCGGTCGGTCTCAAGTGGAGGTGCTCTCCCGGCTTCATTACGCTCGTCGTCGGCTTCGGTGCGTGACGATCAAGGACTCGTTTTGGGCTAGCACCGCTCACATTTTTTCTATCAGGGGTCGCGACAGATCTCTTCGTGTATTCCTCTATTATCCCTGTGATTCCATTCCAGCTCGAACGCCTGGGCTACTCGACAGGCGTTGCCTCGGAATTGACGGGTTGGCTGCTCTTCGTCTTTGTGCGTTTGTTCTAGTCATGTCATTCTCTCCTCATGTTTATCGATCACTATCCAGTCTGGTGGATTGGCCGCTTGTAAGCCAGTCTGCGTTTTTGGGACTTGTGCCATGAACCAAGCGCTTTTCCAGTCACCATCCCGATCGCCTGGGTCTCTGAACGCTATGGCCTACGAAAATCACCACTCATCGTTGCCATGCTTGTGCTCATCGGGTCCCAAATTATGTTTATGGAGGCACCGATATATGCTGTGATGTGCATCGCTCGTGTGCTGCAAGGCTTTGCCTCGACAATGGTTTGGGTCGTGGGAATGGCTCTGCTGTAGGCGAATATCCATCTGCCCATCGCTCTTTCTGAGGAAGACCTCCAGCTGTGACAACGTTCCACCGGACAGCATGGGAAGTCAGTATAGTCTGCTCTGAGTATCCCGCCCACGTTTCTCTGATCTCGATCGGCAGAATACATCGGGATGGCGATGTCTGGAATGTCCGCTGGCACGCTCGCCGGTCCACCGATCGGTGGAGCCATCTACACGCGGTTCGGATTTCGAGGCCCGTTCATTTTCGGAATGGGCGTGGCTGTGCTAGATCTCATTGGCCGGATCCTTGTCATCGAGAGGAAAGAAGCGTTGCGCTGGGGCTATGATCCGCTCGCGGTCCAGGAGACAGCCGATGAAGAAAAACAAGGGGAGCCTACCGCGACCCCGGACTCTGGTCCTGTCACGGCACCATCGCTTCTGCAAGTAATCACGAGGCTATTCAAGTCCTCTCGAGCCGCAGTGATCATGGTCATTTGCGTCCTTTATGGGTCAGCATCGACTTCTTATTACGCCTGTACCACCAATGCTAACTGACACAGAATTATTTACGCTGCCATGGAGCCTACGCTTCCGCTTCATTTGCAAGACATATGGGGCCTGAATTCCTCGAAAGTCGGGCTGATCTACCTGGGCAGTGCTGTGCCATCTTTGCTCTGTGCGGGTTCCTCTCGTCATCCGAAACTTGAGCGCTGAAAACCCGCAGCGTCGCCTCTGGCTGGATGGCTTTCCGATCGGCAAGGCGTGGAATGGATTTGTGCTCTCTGTCTCTCGCTTGGTTTCGTCTGGTACCTGGTCCTCATCGTCCAGAAGAGCCTCGCGCTATTCATCGTCGCTTATGTCCTCGAGAGTACGTGTGAAAGCAGGTCTGAATGCCCCCGAATTTGACCATCGTGACTGCAGGCTTTTTCGTCGGTGGCACCCTTTCACCTGTCATGACTGACTTGGCGAACATATCGCGGTCAATCGAGGGCGTCGGATGTGAGCTCGCCTCTTCTCTCATTTTTTACGTCACTAAAACCTCCAGTCGCACATGTCTACGGCGCCTTCAACATCATGTTCTCGGCCGGGAGCACTGGTGAGTCTGCTTCCCCCCGATGATCGACCGACTGACATGATTTCCAGTGGGTCCTGTCCTCGGCGGACAAGTGAGCGGCTCTGATGTTGATGGCTCTGACACTGATGGTTGCTGCTTAGATTTACGCTCATTCCCGGCATGGCTGGATGATCACAATTCTGGTTGGCGCTGGGATTTTCCTTGTCTGCATTTTACTCTCGGCGATGTACATGGGAGAAGATCCTCTCTTCCAACGGCTGAAACGTAGATTATCGAGAACCCAAGTAGATTAGATTAGATGTTGCTGCTGCTATCATCACAATCACCGTCCGAAACACGGGCATACATCACTGACCTTGATTGTGTCGATCTGTCCATTTGTTGCACAAGGTCCGCCGCCCAAGTGTCTCTCTTCTACCGTCCGCTCGTAGACACATTTTCTCCCCCGCCTACTTTGCCCTGCCTCTATTTTCCTATGGCTGACGAGACCCACTCCTCGGCTGCGCCTCCCACAACAAATGAAGAAGATTCCCACACCTCGTACCCGTCCCCCATTTCCACGGCAGGATCGTCACATACGCGGCCTACGAGCAGGCAGTCGACGGAAGAGCTTATTCGGCAGGAAAGAGAGGACAGCCAGAACAGTCTACGCGCTGCCTCGGCTGTTCTACAGGCCGCGTACCGGCGTATTCGACAAGGTATGGCATCCAGGAACTTGTTTGCTACTCTCTGCTGACCTGCGCGCTCCCCCTTCTCCCTTTTCTCCAGTCCGCCGCAGTCTCGTCGAGTTTACGGACCCTGCAGAGTCTCCAAACGAGGGCATCGGGCCCGGCCACTCCGCCTTGGTGCTGACCACCTCTCCCATCGACGACGGCAGCGAGGATGATGCGCTGGACTTCGAAACCATGCGCGCGAACCTCGCTGAGATGAACCGCCAGACACAAGAGTACCTCGATCGCTTCCAAGCGTCGACGACGACTCCCGAGCACCCACCCGTCCTCTCGGGCCTGCGCAATGTCCAGCTCCCGACGCCTGCCGCGAGCATCGACGACGGGGCGCCGCATCCTGGGCGCCGGCGCTCGTTTTTGGAGACCCAGATAGCCCGGCGGCGCCAGCTGCACCATTCGGATGATCCGAATACGATTCTCGGCAGGCGGGTGGCTGCTCGGGAGGCCGCGGGGACCAGCAGCAGCAGCAGCAGCAGCAGCAGTGTGCGGGCAGCAGTGGAGGGCTCTCCGCATGCAGAACAAGTTCTGAGGGCGGTCGAGATGGAGCGGGAGCTGCTGCATCTGCGCTCGAATGGCGCCCATCTGCAGCGGCGGACGGATCCGGGTCAGCGGACACTAGGGCGCTTAGAGACGTTTGCGACGGCGCGCGCTGATGCGATCCGTGTTGCTCGGTCTAGTCTGGATATGGAGATGGCTAGATTGAGACAGCACCAGCACCAGCAACAGCAACAGTTGTCGGCTGCGCCGCTGAGCCCCAGATCAACAAACATGACACGGCGCTGGCGCGCTTCTCGGTCGAGCGACAGCCGGCAGAGTTCGACGAATTCATCGCAATCTCTCGCTTCCCTGCCTCATCGCGAGAGGCTCTCTCTGCTGTCCAATTTCTCTTCGATACAGAATCTGCAAACGCCGACTTCGGCTCATGCTCCAGGACCGCTTCTGTTTGAGGAGCCGGAGAGCTACTCCAGACGCCTGTCGCGGGACTTTCTCGAATCGCCTGTTGGCACTGATCGCCGTTTCTCTGTTCTTGGGACATCTCAACTCAACGAGGAAGAGAGCATACGAGACAGTCTGTGGGAGGAGCTTGATGAAGTCAATGCGAGCTGGGAAAGCACTATCTGGGATACTCTTCCCCGAGACGGGGGAACTCGTCCTCGGCCCGCACCAAATCCGAGCCCCGTACCCGGCCGACATCGAGGATGGGGTGAGTTGTTGTTACACACTTACCGGATAACGACTTATGACTCGATGTCTTTTTCAGCTAGGCTGGATGCCAATGGAGACTTGATACCTTCCGACGAAGAAGAAGAGTATGAGCGCATCCGTCTTGAAGCCAGGATGGAATCTCTTCGGCAGGCGAGAGCTTCTACGGCTACCGCCGTTATGGCCGAAGCAGGACGGCAGGCGCAGAGCGCTCTCCTCCTCCCACCGCGGGTGATCCGGACCTCGATTTCCCCCGTCGACCAGCCTGAGCGTGACCATCCTCGAGTGCACCTCAACTCACGTGAGCAGCGCCCGGACTGGAGCGAAGTCGAGGGGCAGTATGGATCCGCGGTTCCATACAGGGTGAACCCGCTGCCTGCGCCCCTGGAGGACATGGTCACGCTCAAGTCTAAATCCACTTCTAGGCCCATGCGTTTTTCGAGGGAAGCCATGCTTGCGTGTCACTAGCGCGTCACACCCGTAAATTATGCGACACATTTTGTATTTGGTATTCGATTTGCAATAGTAGAGAATAATAATGGGTTTGCATAGTACATTACTTCCTTCCTTCCTTTATTTCTTTCGGCCAAGAAAACGACACAGAGCCCAAGAAAAACGAGTGTTGTGAGTTGGCTTATGCGGCGACACCGATTCCGATGCGGCCGAGAAAGCGGTTGAAACGCCCCTGTCCGCAGCTGCGGGCGCTTTTGTAGGTGCGGACACTCCGGAAACTTTCCATCGAGGGGAGTGCATGCAGCACAGGAACCCCGACACTGCCACCGCCAGCGATGGATGCAGCTTTGGACGGGCGTGACCAGCTGCTGTGTTCAGGCAGTGCCCCAAGCTCGCTCGCAAGGAATGTGGGCGACTTCTTGCATCTTACGTCAGCTCCCCCGTTCGGTGAGGAAGGGATGACTCCGAGATGCGTCGAGGAGTTGTTGCGCGATGCTCGGCCGAGCGAGCTAACGGCGTCTGGGTGCGATGCTGGGGTAAGCGCATACGGCCCAGAGATCTCCACCCGAGGCTTGCGGGGCGGAGTCTTAGTTCGGGAGCGTAAAGTAAGAAACCGCTTCAAACTGGCATAACCCTTCCCCGAGTCCTTGAATACATCCTCCTCGTCTTCGTCTTCGAGCGGAAGAACCCGCGGATCCCATTCCTCGCCTCTAACGCTGCCGTCGCCCACCTGGGCAAGCCGATCCCGATCTCCAGCGAATCGAAGGAGAGGCAAGTCTTCGAACGTCACAGATTTGCTCGCCGACGAGTGCTTCGTCAAGATAGACGGTGATCGCTTCGGCGACCGCGACAAAATAGACCGCGTCGGCGTCGTGGCCCGCGACTCGGCATAGATCGAAGGCGAGGGGGGTGTCCTCGGCAAACTGCCTGTGCTGCTCGTAGTGGAGATCGATGACGACTCAGATGCAGAGCGTTCGCGGTGGATCGGAAGTCTGCTGACTCCTCCAAAGTCTTTGGCGCGCGGCAGTGCCCTGAAGTCCAACAAATTCGGCGAAGAGCGCGAGATGGAACCGGCTCGACGCGGGCCAGATGGCGACCGATTCGAGCCAGCCTGGAGCGGAGCCACGGTAGACCAAAACGGAGATTGATTCATTTCCGTGACGGTAGTAGCAGAAGTTGGGGTGCGCGGCCGGAACGAAGTTGGCGGCCGGATTCGAGAAGGAGTCGGCGTGATGGACCGTGAGCTCGATGAGGTGCGGGAGAGGGATGGAGAGCTCGACGTCGAGCCCGACAGACTTGACGGGGAGCGAGAGAGCGTCGATGGAGAACGGGGACGCCGGTAGAGCCATTCTGTTGGTCGAGGCGAAATACGAGTCGGAGGACCGTCTGATGGCAAACTGGGAACTGATCGCGGTGGCGTAGACGGCAAACGCTGCTCATCGGCAGAGGAGGGCAGGCTAGTTCCACCTCGCTGATCAATAGCTTAGCAGTGTTCGCTCCATCACAAGATGCGCAAGACGTACGGAGTAGCCCACTCGACCTTTAGAATCCGCACTACGCTTGGCGCTGCCGAAAAAGTCATCGAGCAATATCGACCGGCGAGCGCTGTCGTCCAATCGCGGGCGCGAGCACTTCGGTTTCTTTCGACAGATGTCAGCGACGCAGAAAATGTTTTCTTGATGCAATACAGACCAGGGACTGCGCTTTGACCGACTCGGGGGGAGAGACCAGCTCGTCAGAATCCTCTCCGAACGCTTGGCTGGCGTTGAGCCAGCGAATCTCGTCGATTGTGAGCGAAGTGTAGAACCTTGAGGATACATTGCCTCTCCGCTTCGCAACAGTCAGATAGGCTGAAAGAAACCAGACTGTAGGGCGCACCGGATACATCGAGCAGAAAATGCGGTGTGCTGGAACAAAGAAAATGGGAGGGTTAAGAACTTGTGGAGGATGCCGTGGGTTACGGGGAACTTGAAGAGATGAAGAGAGAGGAGAAGGTGCAGCTGGCTAGCTACATACATAATACCTCGCAGTTCACACGTTTAAGACACGAGCTTAAGCACTCGTTGGCCCCGCGGCGTCCTCGTGGAGATGGGTGAGGTGATCACGTAATGAGATTCAAGTTACCGCGAATACAGGAAGTCTGAAGAAACGAATGGGAAGCGGGCTTGGCCAGGCCCGACCGGACCTCGGAGCCCCGCCATCAGTGGGCTTTTCATAGTGTTGGCCGCTCAGCATGCAGACCACTCCAGATTCCGCGAGCAGCTTCCGTTGTGCTCTCTATCGTCCGTCGTTTGAGAGGCTTGATCTTCAATCCTGAAGCATCCAAAAGGAGGTCAAGCTTTTTATGGATACCGGTGACCTCCAGTTTGTGCAGGGCAATGACCTTGTCTCGGCCGTTGACTAGGCAAAAGGATATGAGTATGTAGTGAGGTACGCCCTGCACAGCAGAAGACGCACCATAGAAACCCCTGACAATTGGTTCCTTGCGATTACGCTGCTTAACTACAATCTCGACATGCGGGTTTTCGCGAGCAAAGGGAATGAGCTCTCGCTGGAGAAAAGTTCGTGTGTTGGCAGAGGACGGCCAGTCGTTGCAGAATTCGAACACAAGCTTTCGTATCTGTGGCAGAAACGTGGTGTGCCCGTTGGCAGGAGCAGATGCGAGGCGCGCGCGAAGTATTGCCGGCGGGAGCATGCAGGGAGAGTTGGTGAGGAGTGTGACCGCCGATACACCGGCACGCCAGAAGAGGAAGCCATCAATCGGCGTTTGCCGTAAGTGTTTAACATTTGGCTCTTGCCCCTTCCACGAAAGACATGCCTGAGCTACCTGAAGTCGAAAGAGCGAAAAATTTGATCAACCGCGTCGCGAAGGGCAAGGTTATCCAAAAGGTTGAGGCTGTCGAAGACACCATCGTGTTCACTGGAACGACTTTCGAAGAATTTGTGCGCTCCGCCACCGTCTCCCGTTCCAGATATCATACAAACTGCGATCTGTCCAAAGGCTAAAGAACTGACTGGAAGAACAGTTCTTAATGCCGACCGCTACGGTAGACACCACGTCCAGCCCCGGAACCTGTGTTGAATCGAGATTGCACAGGCAAGGTCTTCTATGTTGATCTGTCTGGTCCTGGGAGAATGCCTGTGCTCCACTTCGGAATGACTGGCATGCTGCAGGTAGCGGATGCTCTAGTGGGCTTCGAATCACTGATATCCCATGCAGGTGCAAGGAGAACTCGCTGAATATTACAGAGAAACTCCCAAGACAGCGTCAACTGACTGGCCGCCACGGTTTATGAAGGCACGTCTAAACTCCACATGGCAGGTTGTTGACGCAATCTTTAGTTCATCCTTCATTTGTTAGACTCTGAGACCGGGAGCGCTACTCAACTAGCGTTTCTAGATGCTAGAAGGCTGGGCCGCATCCGTCTTTGTAAATCACCCCTTGAAGAGCCTCCAATATCGGAATTGGGATTCGACCCCATTCTTTCTATGCCACCGCTCGAAGAGTTCAGTGTTCTAGTTCTGAAGCGGACCTGTCCCATCAAGGCACTGCTTTTGGACCAGTCTTTCAGCGCCGGTGTTGGCAATTGGGTTGCGGGTGCTTTTTTTCTCCGGGTTCAGATGCACGACGATGTTGATTCCGTTTTCCCAGACGAGATTCTCTATCACTCACGAATTCATCCGGAGCAACGTGCAAACACGCTGACCAACGGGCAGCTGGAAGCCTTGCACCATCAGACGTCGCATGTTTGCCTCACTGCAGTCGCCGTTGATGCTGATTCCAGCAAATTTCCTGAAAACTGGCTCTTCACCCATCGCTGGGTCAGCCCCGTACTCTTAATTAGCACCTTTTACTCAAGCGTCCCTTGATTAACGCAGGGCAAGGGAAAGAAGACTCAACACAATCTCAAGCTAGTGCGCTTCTCTCAGCCTGCTAGTCGACTTGAAGTGTTCATCTTTGTCATACAGCCCACAGGCGGACCGGCTACCATCAAGTGCGTCATTCCCCTTGGATGATCTCGATTCTGACCGCCGCTCAGATGGATTACAGTGGGTGGGCGAACATCCGCTTTCGTGCTCGAGCTGCAGGAGCTCGCAGGACCTACGACCAGAACGCCCCGCAGAAAGCGGGATGCCAAGGTAGCTTTCCGATCGAGCTCTAGAGCATGCAGTGCCTGAGATGATTGGTTCTGCCAGGAAGATGAAGGCGACCACCGCGATCTGGTCGAGCCCGAGTGTGACGCATCTCCTCCTATCAAAAGACAAAAAGTATGCTTCCTTCCCTCATGGACCATGTCTAACGTGAGATTAGTCATCGAGAATCCAGAGCAAAAATAAGGAAACAAGTGCGGTGACGACTGACACACATGCAGTACGTCGCACGAGGGCGAAAAAAAGCTGAGCGGTATCGTATACACAAGTTCTGTCAGATTATTCGCTGTCATCCTCATCATCCTCATCACTGTACTCCTCCTCGGCTTCATCGTCAATAAACCCGTTCATTGTCGGGCCATCTTCATCATCCTCGTCATCATCTTGGTCTTCTTCACTGTCTTCTTCCTCGGAAGTTTCACCGCCGAGCTCAACATCCTCAACGCTCCCGTCCTCATCTCCGCTCTCGACTTCGATTTGATCCATCTCCTCGTCCTCGTCTCCGCTTTCTCCTTCTATGTACTGCGTTGCGGGCTTGGAGTCTGGGCGGGAGGCCTGGGCGCCCTTCCGGGGGCCCAAGGTTGCTGGAGCGGCGGAGGATCGCATTTCTATCTGTGCCAGCACCATTTCTAGTCGGCCGCTGAGAGACAAGAGATTTTGCTGAAGCGCAAGCCGCGAAGAAAGGGTTGCGTGCAGGCCCGCTAATCTCGCTACCAGATCTGGCATCTATTCCAATGATTAGCATGCCAATCGAGTCGGAGCGATTCTGAAGACGCACTGTCATCAGATGACCGCTGTGCACCGCCAAGGCGGACTTGATCCATAATATGAGCGTCGTGCCTCTTTGAGAACTGGCCCCACCGCCCCCTCCCTTCATGTTCGTGGCACGCGCACCGCGTCCCAGCCGCTCCACGCACGCTGTTATTAAGGGGACCGCTAGCTGGGGAGGAAGTCGGCGGACAGTGTTCCGAATCAGGTTCTGGTCTGAATGCGCTAGGCATGTCTCTAGCAGTCTTGTGTCCGACGAGTGCAGTGCCTGGATCAGCGTCCGCGTGAGAGAGTTGGCCGGGACGCTGCCGTTGTCTGCAGCGCCGGATTTCCGCGCCTTTTTGGATTTTGGGGTTGCAGCATCGTCGCTGTCCGAGGAGGTTGTTGGCCTCGCATCGCCCGAGAGCGCCGTCAGGCGCTGGCCGAGGCTGAGTTCGGCAACATCCACTTCAAGATCCCCGTCTATTGCGTTGGTCGGGAGGTCATCCATCTCTTCATCTTGACCAAGCTCGACACCGGAACGAATTGCGACAGACCCAGACTCCGCGTATCGTTTGTTGGGATATGTCTAACAGTTCTGTTTGCGGAGATATCATGGAGCAGCTAAAAACTCACTTTGTATGCCTTTGAGGACGTTCCTTCCCCTTCTTTAGATCAGAGAAGGACGGCGCGAAAAGGAGATGTAAGCTAACCGAGCGATTCAGACGCCATTATGGTGGTGACAAGTGGGACAGGGAGTCGTCTGCTTCGCGATTAGAGTAGCTTGAGATCCTGAAATTGACAGATGTCAGACGAGTGAGCTGCAGAACGAACGCTCTGGCTGTGGGCAGCGACAGTGAAGCGCGAAACAAAATTTTGGAAAGACACGTGACGACAATCAATCTGTCTTTCCAATTGGGGATAACCTCCGCACTGCCGTCTGACGGCAAAGCAGTCAAACTAGTCCTTGACTCCATTCACCCTTGACCTTGTGTTCGAGGACGCGCATTCCATTGGCCTCACTTCTTTCTTGCTTCCTTCTCTTGTGAATTTCGCTCTGCAGCTCTCTCCTCGCATTTGTGTCCGAATATGGCCGCCCAATCCAATTACATCCAGGTGCGCGCTTGCGCTGAGATGTGTGTAATTCCATCCTTTTGACTCGCCCTTCTAGCTGGAGAAACTCGGCAAGCTCTTCCATTCTCTCTTAAAGACGCGATCTCATTGGGTTCCGATCAGGCGAGGGGACTTACGCCACTGTCTACAAGGTGTGCAGGCATGAGGCCTTCTCAGCTCGCCCACAGTACTCACGTCCCATTTGTAGGGCCGTTCAAGAACGACGAACGAAATTGTCGCCCTCAAAGAGATCAATCTCGATGCCGAGGAGGGAACGCCCTCGACCGCTATCAGGGAGATCTCGCTCATGAAGGAACTCAAGCACGTCAATATCGTCCGCCTCCACGATGTCATCCATACCGAGACCAAGCTCGTTCTCATCTTCGAATACTGTCAGCAAGACCTCAAGAGGTCAGTTGAGCGCAGAGACTGCGCTGCTTCTCGTGATTGACGTGCACAGGTACATGGATCAGCAGGGTGACCGTGGAGCATTGGACGCGCCGACCGTTCGAAGTTTCATGTTCCAGTTGCTCAAGGGCACTGCCTTCTGCCACGAGAATCAAGTTCTTCACCGCGATCTGAAGCCGCAGAACTTGCTCATCAACCACAAGGGCGAGCTCAAAGTAGGAGATTTCGGACTCGCTCGGGCGTTCGGTGTACCCGTAAACACGTTTTCGAATGAGGTGTGTATGGTTCATTCATCTCCGTGGCGCCAAGTCTGAGCTGCTCAAGGTCGTTACGCTGTGGTATCGCGCCCCGGACGTCCTATTGGGTTCGCGAACGTACAGCACTTCGATTGACGTGTGGTCCTGTGGATGTATATTCGCAGAAATGATATCGGGCGTGCCTCTTTTCCGAGGCAAAGACACTGGAGACCAGCTTCTTCATATCATGCGGATATTAGGAACTCCAAACGAGGCACAACTAGCGAAGATGGTCAAAGATTCGGTACGCCTATTTGTCATACTAGGCAAGATTCGTTCATTGAAGATCTTTCCAGCCTGAGATCACCATCAAGCCTTTCCCTCGATATCCCAAGATAGACTTGAAGCAAGTTCTTCCCAAAGCCTCAGGTGCAGGTAAGAAGCCCCGTTTTCTTGTTTGACACTGGCTGATCATGACCAGCTATCGATCTGCTTGAACGACTTCTGAAATTCGATCCTGCTGAGCGCATCTCCGCGGCGGATGCACTCTCTCATCCCTACTTCACAGAGACTGTGAATGACAACCCATACGGGAATCTGCCTCCTGGGTCTATGCCGCCTCCGAACTTCAACTTCCCCCACCCGGCTCGACGCCCCCAGGCTGCGCAAGCTTATCCCCTGCAGTATCCAGCGCACATGCATCCACAGATGGCCCAACAGGCTATGCAACAACAGCAGAATATGTACAATGGCGTGCAGTACCCTCATCAATATGGTCGGTAGTCTCGAAGGCGCGCGTTGTGAATTAGTGTAAACTGTATGATTTAGATTTCAAGTCCCTCCATCGGTTGCTGCCCAATTCTAAAATATGTTGTCACTACTTTTACCAACCGAGTACTTGTGCGCTGGCTGGCGAAACTGTGACTTCCCAATCCAAGGACAAATTGATTTTGCTCTGAGCAGGCACTGAACAGATCCAGTTCAGCTTGCGATCTAGCCCTAAAGTTTCGATGTCGCAGTTGGGCTCGTCAACACCGTGCCATTGAGCCACGACATTCTTGGAAACCGACAGGGCTTGCGGTTGGGTCGCTTTGGTTGTGTTCTTCGCGTCGTTGGCGAGCGTCAAGGCGGGATTGACGAGTTTGACCTCGATTTGCGAATCCTGGGACGCCGGGATCTGGTCGATGATCTTCAGCCGTCCGATGGCCACCGACTTGGTGTTGTGGATGGTGATGCGCTGGGAGAACACATGGGTGGCACTCTTGGTGTAAAAGCCGGACTGGGACTGGGTTTTCAGGACGGGGTGGTATGTGATCCGGATAGAGGGGTCCAATCTGGGGCCAGGTTGGGTGGATATATGCACAGCGGAAACGAGGCTCACCCCAGCGGACAGTCGAAACTCTCCTGCGGACTCACAGGCGGGACCGGTGACCGTGAGATGAAACTTCCATCGACGTAGACGCTCGCAGTTCCAGCAAGTAAAGTGTACTCGGATGCGTTTGTAATCCGTGCCTGCACATTGGGTGTAAGTGGGCGTCTATTATGCACGATCTGAGTCGAGATCGACTCACGCTCAGATGAGTCTTTGCGTCTTTCTTCGGAACAGAAACCCAGGACATAGCAGCCTCGAAATCGAGCTCTACAATCGTGAAGTTATGCGGGTTGCCGTCGGAAGGAATGTTGACCGATCCGGGCACTCTGAATGTTGCGCTGACGTTGCCTTTGGAAGTAACCTCTGCCTCTGAGAATAACATGGGTGGCGCCTCGTCGTAACTTGCGGACGGTAAGCTGTTGGCTAGGAGTCGGCCCCTCATCATTGGAGCTGCCGCGGGTCTGGGCGACATAGAGGATCCCAAGAGAGGCATACTTCTGACCGGCACAGGTTGGGGAATAAACAAGTTCCAAGGTTCAAGCTGTGGTATGCCCACTCCGAAAGTCGGGGTGGATGTCTCCAGGTGGAGAGGAACGTTATCCCACGACTCGCCCGAGTTCTGCTTCACCGCAGCTTTATAGATGAGCTTGGCTCCCTTCTCTTTAGCGCTCATGTCGACACGGATGTCATAAAATGCCGTCCAGGTAGCGTTTTGGACCGCTGCATGGTATGAGGCAGGAAGAAAGCCTGAAAGCTAGCGCCGAACACGCACCGTAGACGAGGGCAATCTCGACTTCTCCCTCCTTCGGCGCAAACACACCGATGGTCGCACTCACGCGCAGACGACTGCTTTCATGGGGCACTGCGATTGAAGCCCTTTCCGATGCAATATCGACGTCAACTTGAGTCAGCTCTGCCGTCAGCTCACTCTTCTTGGCATCGAGGCGGGCCCCAGTAGACTCATAGTGGGTGAGGACGTCGTCAAGATTCGCGACGGGAAGGTGCTCGACGCTCATTGATCCAATGTACTGCTCGAGCGACTGGAGCGACTTCTCCACTCGGGCCAGCGCATGGGTTGTCCTCTCGCGATGCTTGTACAGCTCTGTTAGCTTCGGGGATCCAGTGGGTTTGTGCTCCCCGTTTTCCATGGCCACCGTTACGTCGTGGATAGTTGCATCCCCACGCCCCTCGACTCTGTAGCATAGGACCCGCGTGAGCTTCAGCGGGTAGTACAAACAACGCTGCGGTATAGGCTCACCTGAGAGAGGCAGTCTCCAGGACATTGGGCAGTCCTTCAATGACCACTTGGTTGTGCCCCAGCTTCACATTGAGCTTGAACACCCGCCTGACTTCGGCGCGGGAGGAGTATAGGCTGACGCCTTCGATGCTGCTGTCCGAGATGGACCGCAGCTTGATCACAGACGGCTCGAAAGGCGGGGGTGTGGTCGTGACCATTGCCTGAGATGCGGAGGAGTAGTAGGGTTTGCTGTGCTAAAAGTTGAATGGCAGCAACCGGGACCGCATTGCCGTTTGACACAATGAACATGGTCTTCATGTCATCTCGGAGTGCAACGGTGATGGCGCATGACTCGGGAGTCAGGACTCAGGACTGGCAGTACTTTTAGGAGTGTCCGAGGGTAATTGAATGTCCCTGTACCTCTGTTTCATTTGTTCGAAAGTGCTATGGCAAATTCTCCTAACAGAGGCTTCAGGCAAGTTCAAGCTGATGCACAGCTTCAACAAAGGCTGTGTTGTTTATGTGCTTGGTTTGAACAAAGAGCATGGCACATCCCTGTGTAATAAGTGATCGGTTGATCATCTTTTCACCTCCCAGGCTCCCACCTGTGCATTTTGACTTTCATCTGAGTTTTCTGTGTTGAGCAGGGGAGTATGAGACATAATTTGGCAGAAACTCAATCTTGTCCATCTCTCTCCTGCCATCAATCAAAGTGATTCTGAATGCATTGCAGTAAGTTCAGAACAAAGTGTTACAGAGTGTTATCAGAGAGCTTCAACTAATCTACAATGTGACCACAGCAGCCTTGCACAGGAGTATTGGCTACATCAGTGCTGCAATAGCTATTGCTATGGCCCTTCATGTTGGCCACAAGAAGGCAAACCCAGCAACCTCTCTATCTGCTGGTGCAGCACTTGGCTTGTTGAGCAGTGAACTCAAGCTCACTATGACCTTGGTCTGCACAAGCCTCCTGATGCTGGCATCCCTGACCATCTGGCAAGCAGGATTGAAGGTGACTGGTGCACCAGGGTCACACCAAAGGCTTGACTCGTGTCAGAATCCTGTCCGGACTCTGTTCACTCGAGTGCAGCTCCAGACACTGTTGGTATCCAAGTTCAGTGGTCGGGCAGGTGGGCAGCTCCGCCGAAACGCACGGGGGACATCATTTTCGAGCCCGATTATGTCCGACGATGTTCAGAACACGTCGGGACTGATGGGGCTTCTCCCCTGTCCGGAAACTCATTTTGAATGAGCGGAACCCGGCTGCTGCGCAACGAGGTGGTTGCTCGATTTCGTGCGCATGTCTGGCTTTTGCGGAGTCTGCACTCCCATCCCTGCAATAGTCCACATATCAGACATCGAAGCCAGAAATGGACCTGGCTCGATGATGGCAATCTGTCCGTCGCTCTAATCGCTGGCGCACGATTGCGCTAGGACTTACTGGTCGTCCACATGCTGCCGGATTTGTCATTGCCCTGCAATGCAGTCGAGATCGGCAGTCCCGATGCGCCGTTCGCATGAGCCAGCCTGCTGAGCAATTAGTTGAGCGCGTCGACGGTCTGCGTCCTGGAGAAGTACTCGGGCATATTCAATCCGGTGGTCGGGCGGTTCGGTAACCTTGTTTGCGTCGCCCGACCGGATGAGTCGCACCCCAGTGCGGCAGCGAGTATGGAGGAACGAAGAGATCCGGGGCCGCAATGTCGCGCTCATCGGTAATGCGGCGCGGGCAAGGCACTAGCCTCGCGATCGAAGATGCGACTGTGCTCGCGAACCGGTTGCTGGTCGGACGTCCTATCGGGGGTGAGGGAGCCCGACGGCGCGCTACAGGAATGCACGGCTCAGAGAGTACCGCAAGGCGATAAAACGGCGGCGGTCGCTGTGCTTGGAGGAGCCATATCGTCTGGGGATAGATGCACGCCTGGTTCGAGATTTGATGTCGAGGATATCCATCGGTGTCGACTTATGGTGGGTCCTTTGTTGACAACGTCCTGCGTCTCCCCCGGCTGACGATGATCGCCAGGAAGCGGAGCAGGAAAAGGATGTGGCTGTTCGATGCTCGTGTGGAAGTCGACAGCTAGCCCGTTGGAGGGGATGCTACATACCAATAATTACCGGATCCCGACTCTCACGAAATCCGATATGGGTGTTGCATCGAGCATGAAAAGTGAGCATCTCGCAGCGTGGGTGCCGAGAAGCGTTCGGACTCGGACGTCGGAATTTCTACTCGGCGTTGCAATGAGAGGAGATGATGCAAGGAGAAGCTGGCTGTCTCCCAGCAGGGATGTAGTCGGTACTCATCGTGAGCGATTCGATCGTCGTGATATTGAAGTAGGAGTGAGGCTAAGAGGTCGAGAGGGCAAGAGCGAATTGGGAAAAAGACATGAGCGATCCCGTTCGGAATTTGAAATTCTGTTGAGGCTTTTGATCGAGAATTGTTTCACGCTCTCCTCTCACATCGGCGCTCCACCCTCTTATCCACACAACTTTCAGAAACAACACACCAACCGTAGAAGAGACGGATCTCAGAAATACTGAATTTTGATCGTCATCTGGCTTTCGAGCGTGGATTTTCAGGGCAGGGACGAGGGATGGGGAGAGCCACATGTGTCTGGGGTCAATCCAATGTCAATAAAGCCTTTCACATTTTTTCAAAAGGTCCGACGGTGAGAGATTGAAGTGCGAGGAGTTTTATGAGGGGTCATAGCCGTCGTTTCAAGGTTCACCGAGCTTGGCCTGCATATCATTCAGTTTATTGAGCGCTTTCCACCAGTCGTCGCCTCATTGCGTTTCAAACGTGAAGACGAGGAGTCCGGTTTTTCACCTTGTCTTATTGTTCTGTGTGCCGTTGTGCTGGAGGACTTGGTCGAACATTGGACTACCATTTGCTGAATTCAGGCAACAGGGCTTCGTGGTACTCAGTTCTCTTGGTTGACAATTTGGTGGCTTCTTTGACTTGGAATGTGCTGGTGGTACTCTTGCTGTCGAGACTGCGTGCAAGCTCTGGCCGGCCCTGGGCGATGTCTTCGTTGTAACTTGGTTCTGGAAGCAGACGGCAAGCGCTGGTTCGATCGTGAACTGGGGCACTCGAGAAGTCCAAGTTCCATAGAATTTTGTCTACGGATCTCGCAAACAGGTCTATTCTGTGCAATTGGAGGCTTCTGCATCGCAAGCCTGTTCAAGTTAGCAAGCAAGCATCTGATGGTGTCACGCGTCACTCACAGTCACAAGCTGAGCGCTGGCCGGCGCGCAACTGGTGGGACGAGAGCAAAGCACTGCGTAGGTGGTGTAAGCTCAGAAAGGGTAGACTGTGGATATGTCTGATCCGCATGCGATGCACGTCAGAAGATCCAGACGGCGCGCGCTCCAGGGGCAGGGTGTATTCCAGTCGATCCATCCGGGAGCAAGTTCGTGAACCAGCCTGAAGAATTCCAGAGACACATTTCAACACATTTGCGTATCAAGGAACGGAGCGGCGATGCAAGAGAGCTTTTCTGTGCGACGAATCGTTCCATGGGACCAAGCAAGCGAATGCAAGTCCAATTTCATGCACACGGTTTGGCGGTGAGATAAGTCATACGCGACGGCGTCTTTTCTCGCAGTATCTCCCGCTGCCGTCCGTCTTTTGAAACTGCGGGATGGCCTCATTTTGTTCCCGTCAGAACAGAAGGAAGGAGGAGAGACGCATCTGGCCAGTCAGTTTCCTATTCTGCACTTGATGCCGGCAGCCTCAACCAGACATAAAAGCATGTTTTCTCTAGAATCTTCTCTCTCTCCCTTCTCTTTCCTCCCTCCTCCATCTGCTAGACATGTCCGCGACGTCTTCATACCCTTCATTTTCGTTTGTGATTCACCAGGCCCATCCTACGGTGGCCTTCTTCACCATCAATCGGAATCATCTTGATTTGCATGAGCTTCCCTCCGCCCTCGCAGTCCCGGCTGCTCTCCAGGTAACCAGGCTCGATCCTTTTTGATGCATGGGTCATCTCACGCCGTCGGTTTGAGATGCCTCTATCTGCGGCAAGCACGCCCCAGCAGGCTCAGTCCGTCCAGGGTGTGCAGCAGCAGCAGCCTCAGCAGTCCACCAACACTCTGGCTTCGCGTTCCTCCCGAGTCAAACAAGGCGCGAAGGTCCGCATTTAATTTCGCGTTTGTGCTTCCCTGCTGATGGATTCGAAGCGCGTCTTCCAGCGCGTCGTCCTCTTCGTCCGCAACCGCCTCGTCTAGTTCTGATCGAGGGCCTGACCCTCCAGCGCTGAGCTACTCCCAGTCCCGTGCTCGTTTCATTTCTCGATCCAGTCCAATTCTGCTCTCCTTGTTGTGCATGCTTTCCAAACAATCCTAGCTATCCCATCCGTCGTATAAAATCTTTACCCGAACACACCTGTGATTAAATACTGTACATAGCTTCCTCGATCGGCACCCTGTGCTGGTACTCGTTCTCAATTGGTTTTTGTCTTGCTGTATCCGAAACTGAGCGTAGGGCGTGCGAAGTCGGCTTGGACAGAGTAAAAAACCAAGGCTGTGCGAGGGAAAACAGTACCTGCGACGAAGGAATGGCCTAGTAACTCACCATCGGGTGGGAGAGTCGGGACGGCCTCTATAAATAAAGCTGTTAAATTGCGGTCGATTGGGAGCGACTCCAAGGTGTTGCCCTCCTGCTCGTAGATGGACACTCGATCAATCGTCTCGACCCCTGCACTCTGACTTGGCGGCGAGCAAGGATCGACTAAAGGCAAGTTCGTTTTCGGTCAAAACAATCAACGCCCGAGACCCGGCGACGAGTCATAACTAAGCAAGTAGGGCGTCGATCTCAGAGGGCTTGTTGGATCGAGGGGAGCCCGGGATCAATCTAGCAGGACAAGCAGCGATCGAGGAGGATTTGTTCAAGGCAAGGTGTCGAATGAGAATCCAAGGTGCAGGGATAGGAATGCGGCAAGACACTCTGGAATGCTGCAGGACCGGTGGTAGTCTTGCATGAAAAGTATAGATTAGAACGCTGTAGTAGGGGGCTCCGAATACTTGGAGGAGACTTGGCTGAAACTGCCACGGAGGGTGGAAGTGAGCCTAGATTAGATCGCCAGCCGACGCCATCTCTGATGGCTTGATGACCCCCGCTTCCATTCCTCCTGGAGCGGTTGGTCACGGCTCTTCAAGACCTCCCGCTCCGCTACTCAAGACACGGCTCAAGTAGCACTACAATACCAGACAATGTGCCTGTCCAGCATGGGACATCGAGCCATTCGTGAATTACATAAACTAGAAACTAGTCCATCCGTCATTAGCATTAGCAAGTACATACACACACACACACTTATCCGACCGCTCAGCCCCCGGCAGTCAAGCACACGGCGCGCATCGCCACCAACGCGCCGGCCGTCCCGTCAAACGGCAGATCGACCGTGAACAACACGTCGCTACGGTCGTTGTTCAGGTAGACCGGCAGATTCACCGAATTCGAGGTCGACTCGTCGGCCTGCACCCAACGCAGTTGTGAGGGATTGAGCCGCACCGCCTCGCCGTCGTTCAGGACGAGCTTGTCGACGGACCAGGCGGCTCCTTCCAGCGTGAGGCCTGTGCGAGTCAGTCTAGTATATGAGGGAGGGTCACAGCAGCACACACCATCGATGATAAACGCCTGGGGATCATTCACCCGCTCGATGTCCAGCCTCAGATGCAGCGTCTCCAGACTCCACTTCTTGCGGTGCGCCACCGCCTGGCGGGTCGCCGTGACGTACGCCTCCGGGAAGAACAGCCCGCCGAGCCACACCTCGACGTTGCTGAGGTTGTCGAGCCCAGCGACGTGGTCGAGCTGCGCCAGCCGCCGAGCGAGATCGGCGATCCAGCCCGACACGGCCATCGACTTGGGCACCTTGTAGCGGCGCCAGTGGTCCGGTATCGTGCCTGTGAGCAATGGGTGAGCACGTTAGATCGCATGCGGGGGGACGCAACACACCCTTGGTCAGCGAGCTCATCAGCGTGCGCAGGTGGTTCGTCTGCTTCAGTTCGCCCTGGCAGACCCTGATCACATCCTTCAGATCCTTCTGCACCTGGGCCAGCAGCTTCTGCCCAATCGACCCTTCGCGCATGAACAGCCGGTTTAGCGGGTCCTCGTTGTCGCTGCCCACCAGGATGTTGAATTTCTGCACCGCGATCAGCACTGTGTGTATATACCGCATAAACAGTACGGCGATGTGCTACATACCTCGGGAAGGATCTCGATCCACTGCCGGCATCGGTCGAACAGCGTCCGCATCCAGGCCGGCTGCTGCGATCCCTGCGCCTTGGACGCAGAGGCCGCCACAGTGGTGTCGTCGTCGTCATCCGAAAGCATCCGCATCTTGCGCAACTTGCCGAGCAGCTCGTTTCCTGTGCACACGATCAGTCAGCGAGTGTCCCCGGCACCGCGACCATGCTCAGGCAAAACGCACCTTGCGCGGCAGCGATGACCCGCTCTGCGGTAGGCGGCAGACTCAGCCAGCTCGGGGGCTCTCGGTCCGGCAGCTGCTGCACCCAGGCCAGGAACTGCTCGATCTTGGTCCCGTCCGGTGCGCCGAGCACGCTGTTCTGGCTGCCGTTGACGCTGGGGACCAGGCTGAAATCGACGTTGTACGCCGCGGGCGTGAAGAGCTTGTCCACGAACGCGTCGAGGATGCGCTGGTCAAAGTCGCTGTCCACGCGACCGCCGTACACGGACTGCTTCACCAGCGTCCGCAGCGCGTCCCAGGGGATCGTCACGGGATCGATGTTGGCACGGCCCTTGGACACGGAGTTCAGCCACGTGTCGATGGTGTTGAACGCCGAGGCCATGTCCGAATCGTTGAAATCGTACGCTTTGCTCCACCCCAGCGGCGCATACCGCAGTCGCTCCTGCACAACCGCGTGGAACCACGACAACAGGAAGTACAGCCGGACCTTCTCTGCCGGGCCCTGCGACATCCGCGACGCGGAGATGTTGCGCAGCGAGTCGAGCAGGTTCGCTTTGATCCCGGGCGGCGGCTCGTTCATGATCAGTCGCGACTGCCGCAGGATGTTGACCGGGATCGAGCTCGGGTTGGCCTCCATCGTAAGGAACAGCCGGAAATTGCGGTGTGGATTGAGCGTCTGAAGCTTCTTCTCCAGCTGGCCCAGCCATGCCGACGCGAGATGCACGTTCTTGAGCAGCACCCACGTCCCTTGCCTCGAGGCAGCAGCGATCGCGTCGTCCGCCAACTTGAATCCTTCCGGTGAGCCCATCGCCACAGACGACGAGCGCGTGCCCGTGTTTTTGATAAGGTTCTCCACGCGGTAACTGGCGTCGTAGCCTGGGACGGAGACCAGCCCCAGAGGGGTCGAGGCGGGCACCTCGTTCGTGACCATCTCCGACAGGTCGTACCGAGACTCTCCCGCGATGTCAGTGTCGAACACCACCCGCACGAATTGCGCCGTGGCCTGCAGCAGTCGGTCCGGCCGGAAGCACTTGATGATGATGGCCGATCTGAGCGCCTCGACGGCCGCTGCAGGATATCATATATCAGTCGATCATCATTTTAGTCGAGAAAACCATCCACTCACGTGAGCCAGCCTCCCACGGCGTGGGTACCATCGTCTCGGGGGCATTCGAGCCGAGGAAGGGGACCCAGTCACTCTCGTGCTCCATAAAGTGGGCCTGAACAGGCTTGAATATCGAATGCCTCGCAAACGAATCCATGCGATCCATCTGGTCCTGATTCAGCACCGAGGAGACCTTGTCCGCGGCCGCAGCACCCGGCGCAGCCGCAGCAGCCACGCCATCTCCGCTTTCGAGCAGGAACTCGAGCTCGTCGGTGATCTCCTCGACGCCGCGGAGCTTTACCTGTGCGAGCAGGACCGCGAGCATGACCTGGTCGCGGTAGAGCAGCGCGCGCGACGTGCGCTTGTAGACGTGCAGGAAGAGGTCGTTCAGCAGGATGTTGCGCCGCCGGTCGTAGTCCGCGACGCCCTTGAGGTTCGGGTTGTGGTGTAGCACGTGCTCGAAGATGTCGAGGAAGAACCGGAGCGAGAACTGGTAGAAGTGGTTCACCAGGTTCAGCTGCTCGAGGACGAAGAACACCGAGCTGCAGGCCTGCGCGAGCGGGAGGTACTCGGCGGTCACCTGCTCGACCTCCTTCATGATCACATCCGTCTCCTCGACCTTGCGCGTGATTTCGCCCGCCTCGCGCTTCAGCGTCTCGAGCGTGTCAATCACTTTGTCGTCGTCCAGAATGTTGCCCGAGCTCTCATTCAGCGCCTGCAGCAGCAACTTCTCCAGCGTCCTCAACCGCAGTCTGAACTCACCCTGGATCTTCATCAAATCCGTCCGCTTCCGCTCGGTGTCCGGCCGCTCGACCTTGAGCACCTGGTCCAGGCTCTGGCTCTGCAGACTGCTGCGAGTCATCGTGAAGTTCACAAACGTGACCCGACTGCAGATGTCCGGCGAGAACTCCACCGACGGATCGCGCGTCGACAAGAACATAGTGAACGACGGCGAAAAGTCGATGTCCTGGCTGCCGAGACGGATCAGAACACGGCCACCGGTCCGGCGGATCTCCTTGTTCAGCACGGCGTTGAGAATAGGGTCCAGGTGCTCGACGTCCTGGATCAGCAGCGGGTTCCCGAAGCGGAGCGCGCTCTCGAGGACCTTGAGGAACGCTTCGTCGAGGAAGCTCGTGACCGTGATCTTGCGGTCCTTGTATTCGTTCATCAGGAACGTCGTCGCCTGGCCCGTCGGATCGATTATCAGCGGGTACCGGTTGAACCGTTTCAGCATGATCGCATTCTCTGTCGTGAGGTTGTCTGACGGGAGCGACTTGGACTGCCAGCTCAGTCGGTCGTCCGCGGTCGAGAGGTACTCTGTCAACGACAGCTCCGGCTTGAATTTGATGCTCGCCTCGGTCAGATGGTTGGACCACTCCTGCCACATGCCTTCTCGGTACTGCTGGTCGAAGAAGCCGCCATACGCGAGGAACGCAGCAGACAGCAGCACGTCGCCAACGATGGTGCTCATCTCCGTGTCGAACGTGCGGCTACCAGACTCCCACCGGCCGCGCTCAGAGGACAGACTCTCGAGCAGCTTCATGCTGCGGTCGACCTTGCCCTGGACGCGCTCCATCTCCGCCTTGATGGCCTGCGTCTCGCTGATGAGCAGCGCGTACTCGTCCTTGTACCGCGCGATCTTGGCCTCCAGCTCAGCGATCATGTCGATGATAGCCGCCGCCTGCTTCTTCGTCGTCTCCGCCTCGACCTCCAACGACGCCACCTCATTCCGCAGCGGCTCGACGCGGTCGAGGATCTCGGAGAAGCGCACCTGCGCCAACACCCACTTGACGAGCGGCCCGCAAGCTTTACTGGCCCGCTGCACGGTTTCGAAGTTGAACGACGGCCGGGAGAGGAAATCCTTCTTCATCGTGTCGCGCAGCTGCTTCGTCATCTGCGTCGTC